CCCCCCCCCCCCGGCACAGCCTGCAATGGAGGCAGGAGAGGGAGCAAGGCTCCAAGAGGGTGAGCAACTTGCCCAGTCTTGGGGTAAAGGTGGAACTGGACCCCGCTCCTCTGTCTGCCTCTGCCTCAGCTTCCTGGTGGCAGGGTTGGTGCCAACCAGACATAGGCTTCCCACAGAGGCCCAGCCTCTCTCTAGCTGATGCTGAGGTGTCTCTGTCCTGTGTTCTGCTCCATAATGAACTGTTCCTGGGCCCAGTGGCATCTGGACAAGTCCCAGCAGCCTGGGCTGCCTCCGAGGGGCAGAGGGGCTCCTTGACCCATAGACAATGCCAGAGCTCCCACCCAGGGGCAGCCCTGGCCAGAGGGGTCCACACAGGGCCGATGCAGTGAAGACCACTGACCGGGCCCCAATCCGGGTCCCAGACACCAAGACTGCATCTGCTTGTTGGGACAAGCCTCAGCCAGGAGCTCTGTGGGCGGGTTGTTGGCACTGTCTGGGGAGCATGCCGGCACATGCAGGGTCACAGGAAGTTCTTCTGGTCTAGCTTAAAACGAGATTTGCTCCAGATGGGCTGGTTCTGCTTCAAGCTATCCTGGAGAGGGTCCCACCCAGGATCCCACCCACCCCTGCAGCACCCACCCACAGTCACAGCACTCACCATTCATGACTCCAAATTCCAGCATTCATTCCAGCCTCTCCATCTCCCTCCCCCCACACTGGCATAGTTTCCATCTCCTGGCCTTTGCTCTGCCGTTCTCTCTGCCAGGATGTCTTTTCCTTAGTCCCCTCACCTGCTGAGGGCCAAAGGATCTTCCAAGAGGAATTGACCAAGAACAGCAGGACACCAAGTACCTCAGGGGCAGGGAGAGTGAGGGGCAGGGGGAGTGAGGTCCAGGGACAAGGAGTCTGCCTGGAGAGTTTGGAAGCTGGTGCCCTCCCTCCATCCTCCATCTGGCTCACAGGTGAGGGGTGGGACCAGATCTAGGGAAGCCTGGGATGGCAGCCAATGTGTCCCCAGCACCTAACAGAGCCTGGCACCCAGTAGGCACTACTAAGTAGGCATTGCTAAAATGCCAGTTGGTGGGAGGATATGAATGGGGGTAGAGATCAGGGAAGGCTTTCTGGAGGTGATGGTCAGGTAAACACAACATCCCAGGTAGAGGAAATAGTGCGGGCAAAGGCTCAGCAGCAGGGCACACCTGGAGGGCACAGGAACCTCCTGATTAATGACACTGTGCAGTTCAGTCTGACCCGAGGCTGGTCCCAGCCCCACCTTCCTCTAGTCACATGGCCTTAGGCTCCCACCATCTCTGAGCCTCCAGTCCTTTCTTTGTAAATTGGAAACTTCAATCCTGACTCTAAAGAGTCTTCTTAGTAACAGCTTGAGCCGCTGAAAGTGCAGAATTCAATGGCTTTCAGTATATTCAATATATCACACAATCATCATCACAATCAATTTTAGCACATTTTCCTCACCTCAACAAGAAATCCCATATCTATTAGCAGTCACTCCCTACTCTCCCCTCCCCCCACAGCCCTGGAAACAACCAGTCTACTTTCTGTCTCTATGGATTTGCCTATTCTGGACACTTCATAGAAATAGAATCACCCAATACTTGCCCTTTTTTGCCTGGCTTCTCGCACTGAGCATCATGTTTTCCAGGTTCATCCACTTTGTAGCATGTGTCAGGTCTTCATTCCTTTTCATGGCTGAATAATATTCCTTTGCATGGATAGACCACATTCCGTTTATTACTTCATTAGTTGAAGGACATGTGGGTTGTTTCCACTTTTTGGTTATTATGAATAATAATGCTGCTGTGTTGCTCACCTCCTGCTCTCCATCTGGTTGTGCAACCTCTGCCAAGAAACTGGCATTGCAAGTTCCCTCTGCTTAGCCAGGTCTCCCCAAGGCCCCTGAAGCTTTGAGGGTCCCCCACAGCCATAGTTCATCTGGGCCCTCTGTCCAGGCAGGATGGCCAGGCAGAGGGTCTGTCTGTCCATCCTCTGTAGCCCAGCCATCAGACATGGAGAGTCAGCCTGTGGACAGTCAGGCTTGGGGTGGTGGCCAGGAGGAGGGAGAATTTGGGAGGGGAGATAGGTGAGCTGCTCAGGCTGCCAGCCCAGTAAACATCATCTCTGGGGGAGATAAGAAGGGTCAGAACAGGAGGGGAAGTCGGGAGGGAGTCCTGGGGAGCAAGGTCACGGTGGGAGGAAGCCCAGCCCAGCCTCATAGATCCATGACCAGCTGACCAGCTGTCTGTGCCCCCTTCACAGACTGTAATTATTTCTTTGTGGGTGATTTTGACTCCCATCTGTCTCCACCTTCCCATGGGTTCTACAAGGGCAGAGATGGGGTCAGGTCAGTCTTGATCCCTTCTGTGGCTCCACGACTAACCATGGTGAGCGCTCATAAATGTTTGTTGAGTGACTGAATGACTGTGAGTGTACATCTGTGTGTGTGTGCCCCTCCCCCACACCCCTCTCCACCTCTTTCCCAGTCTGTCTCTCCCCAGGGTGGGCACGCCCAGCCTCATCCCCCACAGGTGGCAGGGTTGGTCATGCAAGCAGCTGCCCCTCTCTGAAAAGTGATAAAGTGATTAATGACACTGTGCAGTTCCTCTCTCCCTGCTGAACAGCTGGAGGAGATTTCACACATGCAGGAGATCCAGGAACTCCCTCCCTCAGAACCATGCCCTATTCCACCCAGACCCACTCCTGCAGCCCGCATTCCAGCCTGCAAGGGGGGCAGAGGGGAGGGCCTGTGGCCAAGGCGGGCCCGTCTCTCCTTGATTTGTGTGGGGTTTTCCACTTCGGAAGCCGGAAGCCGGATTTGCTAGAGCACGTAGAGGATGTGCTTTCCTCCCAGGGAGGGGCTCCTAGGAGAAGCGTGACCCCCATCCCCACCCACAGAGCCTACTGTTCTCAGTTTACCCCAGTGGAAAACCAGGAGGGGTAGGTGTAAGGATACCGTGGGCACTCAAGTGGAAGAGGAGGGGGAAAGCATTCCCTAGCAATATGGCGCCCTTCCGGGTTCTTCTCCACAGTAGAAGCCTG